AATCCGATACCAAATGAAATACCCAGAAAAAGACCCACGTAGAAAGACATGTTTGGTTTCCGAGAAAATCTCTACAAGTTTTTTTTCTTTCCTTTTTTTTTTTTGCCTCTCCAGTTTCTACAGACAGCTTGTTGGGTTTGACATTTTGTTGAATTGAGAGAGAATTGATGATTGGTAAAACAGAAATTTGATTGGGAAGTTATGGTGGGAAACGAACGTAAGTGGGCTTATTATTAAACACTACTATTATTAAATTACTGTTTAAAGATTTTTTTGTTACAGTTCAGTTGGTGGAGTTTGATCTGGAAAAGGAAGTAATATGTTCTTTTCTTTTCGCTTTTTCGTTTCCTTCACGTTCTAGAGTTTCTACTTATTCTCACTGTCTTCTACAATTTATAGCGTAAATTACACTCATTTGATTCATTTATATTATAGTATTTTTTTTATTACTAATTTGTTAATTAATTTGTATAAAAGAATGATATTTTCATCGCTTTACTATTACAATATATATTTATTTTTATTTATTTCAAAATTTATCGATTATCTGTATTAGTTCTAATCACTATAACTTTATCAAAATAAAAGGAGATTTTTAATTTAAAATTCATGATATTAAGATTTTATAAGATAAAGGATATATAATATTTTCATACTAGGTGGGGTCTCTCAGCATTTTAAAAGATAAATTTTAGCATTTCAAAAAAAAAAAATTATAAAGAAATTTCAACTCGTTATAGAGAAATTTTTCACAGGAAAAAATGACCAATTTTTCTGTAATGAGTTGAAATTTCTCTAATAATAATATTATTGAGGGACCTTAACTAATAATAAAAAATATATTGGATGTTTTACTAATTTTTTCATAAAAGAAATTAGTATGTTTAGGATGATTTTTTTAACTTTTTACAAAAAAAAATGTACAAAAAGTAAGAAAGATATGGAATTTTTAACTTTTTGGGCTCCGTTTGGGACGAAAAAAGTTGGGTTTTTTTGGCTAAAATAGTCACAAAAAATAAAATAGATTTGTTAATCAAATAAGACAAAATATCACATTCAACCCATAATAATTACATTATTTCTCTCACAAAAAGTCAAAAAAAATATAAAAAAAAAAAAGCCAAAAGCCCTTCTCAAACTAGATCTTTGAACCCTAGATTAAAATAACTTAAAAAAAAAAAAAGTCAACTCACTTTCCAAACAAACCCTTAGTATAGTTTTAAATATTTTAATTTTTGAGTGACTTTTTAAATAAAAAATTATTATTCTATTCAAATAAATGATAATTGTTATTACATTATGCGACGGACTTATCACCATACGATCATTGATCGTCATCCCATCAATTGAAATTTTTTTTTTTTTTCATTGATTGCAGTTATTAGAGCTCAATTTTTGTTTATTTATTTTTATCAAAGTAGTTTTTAGTTTTTTTTTTTTGGATAGTTTTTAGTTGTTGTTGTTGTTGTTGTTGCTTTTTTTTTTTTTGGCTTGTAGTAAAAAAAAGCAGTTAGCTTATTAGTTAAAAAATTATTTTACTAAAAAAATCTTAATACATTTGGCAAATATATTTTTTGAAAGGAAAAAAAAATGTTAAGCCTTCGTTTGGCAAAATAGACTTTTTGCCTTAATAAAACAAAATATTATATCCAACCCATAATCATTACATTCTTTCTCTCACAAAAGTAAAAAAAATAAAAAACTCATTATAAACGAAACTTTTTAATCACAAGTTAAAATAACCAAAAAAATCAAAAAGTTCTAAATCCCACTAATATAACACTCCTAATATATCTTAATGACGTGGAAGAGAGAGAAAATAGAGAGATAGAGAGAAAAGTGTGAGTCTGTTACTTCACATGATTCATTCCATATCATTAAGCGTGAATTGGTGATGCCAAACTAGTACTTCCAAACGTTTTTAACAAAAAAACTGTCACTTTAGTTACTCTAAAAATGATTTAAAAAGTTAAAAAATTAGAAATCTATTAAACAAACTAATATTTCAAACATTAGTTTTTTTTAAAAAAAACTTATTTTTAACTAATACAATAACCTTTTAGCTAATTTATCAATGAAGGTACAATTGGAAACGAAAGTTGTAATTTGTAGTTGAAAGTTCCCAGTGCTTGATTGGATTGGAGAAAGAACACAAATAATGTCGGTTGGTTGGTTCATTTGCGGTCCCGTTAGCATTATGGTTAACAAGATAAAATAATTATTTTATATATTTTTTTAAAATTTTAAATAATAATTATTCCATAAATTTATGGAAATAACATTAATGTATTCCATCAATTTTTCAAAAAAATATGGGGGATGCACCAATAAATCCCAAATTAATAACTTATGCACTGTTTAGTCCTAAAAGTTTTCTTATAGACTGAAAGGTCCCATTACAATGTTAATAACATCAGATACAATGTTAATAACATCAGAGTCATGTTACAAACATTGGATTTCAAACATCTAATATTCATCAAATTTCAATAATGTTTGAAAATATAGGATGAAAAACATCTAATGTTCATCAGATTTCAATAAATTTTGAAATTATAGAATGAAACATCAGATCATTCACATCATGTTGATGTAAAAATGGGACTAAATGGAGCATAAGAAAACTTTTAGGACTAAATGATTCAACGTTTCAAAAACTAAGACTTATGGGTAAATTTTCCAAAAAATATATGATAATCATTCATGTTCTATCAATGACATTCACGTCAAATATGTAAAGATATGAAATTTTAGTTTTTTTTTTCAGTTAAATAGTCAAAATGTCTACAAAAAGAGAAAATTATTTATATGGTCGAAAAATTTAAAAATTGTTTATAAAGAAAAGCCAAATGTCTTTATAATTGAGGATTTTCGATACAATTAAAAAAAAATGTTTTTAAACACATTAAATTTTTTTTCATATCACAAAAATTTTAAAAAATCAAGAATAATCAAATGATAACATCGCTATAATTTGATTTACAATATAAAAATTGATAATCACAATTAAGGTTGTTTCGACACTAACTATTTTAGTTACATTTTAATTTTTTACGAAAATATATACAAACTAGTAAAGAAAAGTGCTAACTTTTTAATAGTGATTTTTTTTTTATTTTTTTTGACTAAAAAAACTTGGATATGGGGTGGATGATATCCTAGCATTTCATTGTGACGTCACGATTAAAGTTTGTTTCAATTTTATTTTAATGATTTGAACCGTTCATGTTATAGAATTCGTCGAGTGTATCATCTATATAAAAAATGAGATTAATTGGACATGCATAATCCCATAATTAGACCATTATTGTTTTTAAAAAAATATCAAAATTATGCTAAATGTGATCTTATTATGAGATACCGATGTGTAATTGACTTTTTTTTTTTATTTTTTTTATGTATAATCTACTTGACAAATTTTATAATATAAATCGTTTAAATTATCAAAATAAATTAAAAAAATGACCCCACAAACTCACATGTGCTCTAACTAGTTCATGAAATAAATTAGGAGCGTTAGATACAACACCCTCAGTTTCAGTTCCGAAAAAACTAGTTCCCAAACTTGTCCTACAAGTAGATTGATCAAAAATAAAATTTAGAAGAAGGCCATTTCTTTGAAAGAATTATTAGGTGTTTTAGAATAACACGTCACTATATTTTTAATTAATCATAAATTAATATATATTTTTATATTTTTTAATCATTTAATATAAAATTATAATATATCTTCTATCAATACAAATAACGCGTTACATTGCCTGACCAACCAGTAACTCCTCATTTCTTTGCCCTTTCTTTGAATTTTTTTGTCCTTATCACCAGGGAGACCCTTTACAGTCCTTTGGCCTAATTTGAAACTTTGCTTAAAATTTTAATTTTGACTTTTAATTTATTTTAAATTACATTATCTTTATATATATATATATATATTTAAAAAAAATAAAAAAATTAACTTTTAGCCAACCCTTTAAAAGCAACTTTTCTCTCAACAACCTGACTGTCCTTGTTTTTGAAAAAACAAAAACTGTGATTATTATATTATATAAAGACAATTGAAACATATGTATGTGGTCTTCTTGGAACCACTCAATACCCATGTACTTGTTATTAACTACACCCATTGAAATTCAACTTCTCTTTCTCTCTCTGAAGACAACAGCTTCTCAGATTAGAACCCAGATCAAATATACATTGTTATTTGAAGTTTACTTTGTTACTCTCTCACTCCTCAATCTCTGTTTGATTATTTTCTTGGCGGGTTTTTACTGAAATGGGAAATTAAGCAAATTTCTGAGTTGGGTTTTTTCATTCGAGAGAAAAAAATTTGGGTTTTTTTGATACCTGGGATTACTTAAGATGATGCTAATGACACGCTATAATCTCGAGTTTGGTCGAACTGGGTTGGATTTGGTTTCTTGTGGGTGCTCTTCCAATGCTTCGTTTGAACAATTTACAGTGAAAACCTATGCAAAGGGGGTTCACAGGGGTTTTAAAAGAGGCTATGTGGCTCGGAAATTGGCCTGTTGTCGGAGCGGCATTGCTCGGTGTCGTGTTTTCTCTACAATGACTCCGGAGACTATGCTGAATGGTACTTTATTTTTCTTTTTTTAGTTATGCATAATTTGATTTTGTTTTTTATTTCAAAATCTCCGTTTATATGTAGTTTTATCTTACTCTTTCTTTTTGAAATTCTACTTTTTGGAATTTAACTTTTTTTTGGTAGTATAGTTATTACATTTTAACATATTAGTTTTTCAAAATTATTATTTGGTAGTACATTTTTTTAAAAATATCAATTTTCTGAATTGTATTTTTTTTGTATTGTTAATAAATTTAAAAGAATGACAAAATAGAAAATTTATATTATTTTAATCATTGATTCTTGAATAGGAACTAATAATTTGAGATAATGAAAATTGAAATAAGAGACTAATATTTTAAGATAGGGAAATATCAAATTTGAGTCTAAGCCATTGAAATTGTAGTACTAATTTGTTATGGACACAAAATAGGGGCTGTATCAGGTCCTCCACCAGTGTTGGACGTGAAGAGAGTTTCTAGAAGCCCTATTTCATTGACAAATATGTTTCAACTGGTTGCTGATGACCTCCAAACATTGAACAAAAATCTACAATCAGTGAGTACCTCTCTGAAAATTTTGGTATTGGATTGTATGCTATAAGATGTTCTTATATTCTTTCCTTCAGAAAATCATCATGGTGAAGATTTGTACTTTTAGACTTATTGCTTGAAAACCTATTAAGATTGTTTGGCCATTTGTGCTGAAGAGAATAAGTGCTCGAGAGAGGAAGAGTGGCGTGGTCCACATTGAGTATGTTGTAAGAGGGAGGGGAGAACCAAAATTGACATAGCTCGAGGTAGTGAGGGAAGACATTTTAGAGTCATATTTAGTTAATGGATGCATAGCTCGAGTTGGTGAGGAAAGACATTTTAGAATAATATTTAAGGGATATTCTTCTGAGTGGAATGGAAAAAGAAGATTATTATTCCTGCCCCAATAGTTCAGAAAATGCTTTGTCCAATTCATGGGGTTGTCTTTAACTTTGATATGTTTTTATTAGTTACTTAGTTTGTTAGGCACCATTGGTTGTGGTTTCTGAAGCTACTTTTAGTAGCAAGAAGAGAATTTTATTTGCCATTTGTTTTTTTTTTTTTTTTTGGTGCAATGGAAAAAATTAAAGCAACAGCTAACTAGGAAATCTCCAGTCAGGAGCATCTAGAGCCAATAACGGCCTAATTTGAGCCGGCGGTTCCATAAAAATCTGAAGCTCCATGGATCCTTTAAGAGCCTCATAAGCAAGAAAATCTGCACATTGATTTGCCTCACGAGGCCCATGGGATATATGACACATCCAGTTCCACCCCAGAATTTGACAGATTTGAGCTACTAAGTTGTATTCTGCATGTCCCTCAGTTGGATGTTGTATCAGCGACACCGCCCCAAGAGAGTCTATTTCCAACACAATCAATCGAAAACCCCATTCCCAAGCTAACAACAGCCCTTGCCATATGGCCCACAGCTCCATAGCTATAGCACTTGCCCATCCCATTCTTCTGGAGAATCCTCTAATCCAAAGCCCATGACTGTCTCGAATTAATCCACCAATGCCCACACAACCTGGATTGCCAACTGAAGACCCATCAGTATTTATCTTCACGAAATGGCCCATCGGTGGCTGCCATATTTTGGGATGAAAATTTGCTGAAATTCTATGTAATTATGATGTCCACTGAAGCTTGATAAAGTATGTGTATAGTAGTCTTAACAGTTTGTGCCCTCAGCTGTGGTAGTAATTATAGAAGCGGTGGAACAATTATGGCTATTGGGGTGCGTTGTTATTTAGTACTAGAGTGACAATTGTAAGATGGTTGTGGTGACTTGCCAGTTGCTATCAGACAGCAAGGAAGAGGTAACTGAAACTAGACAGCAGTAGGGGCAGAAATATTCATATTTGTTATTTTATTTTATTTTTAATTCCTATCATGGTGGCCAACTATTATATATGATAATGGTGTGTTCTAATGATTTTATAATTCCTTGCTGAACTCTTATTCAAGCGTTAACATTGTCCAAAATAAAGGTCCGTAATTTTTGTTCATGACATAACAGATTTGGAAACATCTACATTCAGAATGAAATAAGTAGAAAAGTCCAATTTGCGTTATCTTTCACAGTTAATCAGACTATTTTCATTGATTTGATTACCATTTTTCATTGATTTGATCAGACCTCTGATTGAAATATAATGCGTGTTTGTTGCCTTCAAAGCTTTGTGTTAATGAAAATTGATATGCAATTGCTCCATATGTTGCATCACTGATTAGAATTATCTTGGCATCTAGAGATGTGATTCAACCAAAATATATTTTCGTAGATGCGTATCAATTCAGATAATGGGAGTAGTTGATTCTTATTAGCTTAGCTAAGCTAAACAAGCTGCCTTTGAGTTAAATATCTCCTCTTTGATTCAAAATCAATCATAAGATTTCTTTTTTGTTTGGTTGCCATTATCATTGTAGTTGAGGTCCTATATGTGCATGAAATTCAAAGAAATGTCTTAATGTCAATTTCAGTTGCTTTACTACTATAAATTGAATTTCATCACCAATATCTTATTCTTCTGCACACAATCACTTACCTTTTATCAACTTCAGATACTTGGATTGACATGTTATCTGAAATACAAGTCTGGCTTCCTATTGTCTATCTATATGCTTCTCTTCTGATGAAAAATTTCTGCTAGATTGTTGGTGCAGAAAACCCAGTTTTGATGTCAGCCGCTGAACAGATCTTTTCTGCCGGTGGGAAGAGGATGAGGCCGGCTTTGGTGTTCCTAGTGTCTAGAGCCACTGCAGAAATTGTAGGCTTGAAGTGAGAGTGTGCAATTTTCTTTGTTAAAATATTCTCTCTGAGATATTAGATAATATATAAATTTTTTATTCAACACTATTTGTTACCAGGGAACTTACTAAAGAACATAGACGTTTGGCAGAGATTATTGAGATGATCCATACTGCAAGCTTAATTCATGATGATGTATTAGACGAGAGTGACTTGCGAAGAGGTAGGCCTTTAATATTCTGGTGCTCACTGTTTAATAAAAAATGAAGAGTACGGTGATTGGCAATTGCATAGATGCTTTGTTACTTTTTTTCAGAAAAATTGAGCGGCTTCATATATTAGGATGTCTCTTTCAACCATTAAAATGAATAAACTACCTAGATGCTTCAAACACACCTTGGAATGCACTCTCTTCATCTCTTACATGTTGCTGCCTATTTTCAGGAAAGGAAACTGTTCACCAACTCTATGGTACTAGAGTGGCAGTCCTTGCTGGCGACTTCATGTTTGCTCAGTCATCATGGTACCTAGCTAATCTTGAAAACCTTGAAGTCATAAAGCTCATCAGCCAGGTATGCATCATAAGCTTTTGGAACACCTTTTTGTTCATAAATTATAAACTTTGGAAAACATAAACAAAAACGAAGGTTATCAAAATGTGCTATACTGGCATATTATGGCAGGTTATCAAAGATTTTGCTAGTGGTGAAATAAAGCAGGCATCAAGTTTGTTCGACTGCAACGTTGAACTTGACGAGTATTTGATCAAGAGCTACTACAAAACAGCTTCCTTAATTGCCGCTAGTGCCAAAGGAGCTGCAATTTTTAGTGGGGTTGATAGAGGTGTTACTGAGCAGATGTATCAATATGGTAAGAATCTTGGTCTATCTTTCCAAGTTGTTGATGACATATTGGATTTCACACAATCAGCGGAGCAGCTGGGGAAGCCAGCTGGCAGTGACCTGGCAAAAGGGAACCTGACTGCACCAGTAATTTTTGCACTAGAGAAAGGACTGAAACTGAGAGAACTCATCGATTCCGAATTCTCTGAGACTGGTTCGCTTGATGAGGCCATTGAATTAGTTAAGAGTTGTGGGGGGATCGAGAGAGCCCAAGATCTAGCAAGAGAGAAAGCTGATCTTGCAATCCAAAACCTTCAGTGTCTTCCTCAGAGCACGTTTCGATTTGCACTTGAGGGAATGGTGAAGTATAATCTAGAGCGGATTGCTTAGATATGGAAAACATCTAAAGTAGAAGATAATTATGTTTGAAGTCGAAGCCATTCTTGACAAGAATTTGTTTAAGCATTCAAGGTGAGGAGCTTAAAGCTGCTTGTGATTCGGCACATATACAACCTTCTCAAAATAACATTATTCAATGATTGTTGTACACTAGCGATGTCTGAGTTAACAAATAATATCGAGCAATACTATTGTCTCGGGCTTATAGATCAATAAATTTCGAGTTCCATATTGGCAGCTTGTGAATTTGTTTATCATTTGTGGATGTTTCAGTTTATATGCTGCTTCTTGTTAGTTTTCAGGATAACAGTTGGTTTTTTTTGTACATGGAAGAGGCCTGATGATGAATTTATTCATATATATGTTGTGTGCTAAATTTTATTGTTAGGCAATGGTTAAATTGTCAAGAGTAACATATTGTTCTTGTAGTGCATGAGCATGAAGACGCTAGATGAGCTTGACACATTGTCTGGAATTCAAAAAGCTATGTTCTCAGATATAAGACGGCGAACTGCAGATCTTTCAATTTCAGTCTTGTGGACTGGGTGGTCTGCTAATCAAGTGGCTCACAGGGTGGTTTCAGCATTGCAGAAGTGTTCCCTACTTCCCGTCTGCTCTGGTGCCGTTCCTCCTAGCTGCTGATGCTTTGATTTCTGTCTTGAAGTCTTCTACTCTTTCCTGTGGTTAAAAAAAGGATCAGATGAATGTATACTGGTGTAAAATTTCACTTGTCAGGAGATTAGTAAGATGTCACTGATGTCACTGTTTGGAGCTTTTTTGTTTGTTTGTTTTTAAAAGAGATAAAATCAACTAAAAAAAAAAAAAAAATGTTGGCGGAAGTGCTTCGACAAATTTCTTTTTTTTTTTAAAAAAAAAAAGATTTATAACAAAATGAAGTATTGTGAAAGTGATTGAGTTCCCCCTGAGAGATCAGACCACCTCTCCTCCCTCTTCCTTTCCTCTGCCCACCACCCCACTACAATAAACTATAACCTCCCTTCCTTCAAACACATGGAATAGGAACACTTTACAAAGCCAATCCCCAAAAAAAAAAGAAAAGAAAACAACGTAGTTGATCCTTTATGTCTGGTAGGTACTTCCACAATTATGGTTGTGTGAATACATATAGAGATTCAACTCAAATATTCGTTTAGGTGAAAAAAATTCAAACTCAACTTTATGTTTAAGTTTAATTTATTTATATTAAGTTAATTTTAACTAACTGGACATGAATCAAACTCTAATAAATTTTTTTATGTACACCTATATTAAATTTAATAGGTAAAATATGATTTTAATAAAATTAAAAATTATTTTTTTACAAGAGTAAAACTCTATCCCTTTAAAAGTTTATTATTTTGTTTTATTTTATTTTTTAGGGTGTGTGTTCATGTTTGTGTTCAATATAAGCTCCCTCACAGGCAACCAAACCGCCAGAGAGTCGCAGCCTTGGCATCAAACCGTACACATTCACAGAGAGAGACAGAGAGAGAGATGAGATTGCTAGGTTACTTAGGGCAATGGAGGAACGTAGCGAAAGAGGCAGTGGATCGATCCATGATCGTGGCAAAGTTCCTCTGCTTGCTTCACGTCACCAACAACTACCTCTGTTCCCCAACCCTCGTATGTATTCTAATTCCCCCTGATTTTCCCACCTATTTTCTCGTTAAAATCTTATCAATCAATCGGGACAAACTGAAATTATTCTCTGTGTCTCAGGTTTACGGTCCTAGTATGCTCCCGACCCTGAATCTGACCGGCGACGTGGTTTTAGCCGAATATTTGTCGACCCGGTTCGGCAAGGTGGGACTCGGAGATGTCATCCTTGTTCGGTCCCCTGAAAACCCTACGAGGATTGTCACCAAGCGCATTGTGGGCATGGAAGGCGATACAGTTACTTTCTTGGTGGACCCCATGAACAGTGATCGTTCTCACATCCTGGTGGTATGCAAATTGTTCTTTTTCGCTAAACCTCAATTGGGTTTTTCCATTTTATATTGTATACTAATTGCTAGTTTGTTTGTTTTGTTCAAATTTATGTTACTTTTAGTATGTTATAAGCAATTGTCATTGTTGTTGTTACTTGGTATACAATCAAATTAATTAGTTTTGCTATTTTTGCAACCTCTTTTGGATAAAGTTCTATCCTCTGTTCAGTTGTAAATTTAAATTTACAAGCATCTGAGAGAATTTACCAAAACAAATGTGGTGTGCTAGTGTTTATCCAAACAGTGTTGTGTTCAGTTGGAGTGTTGGTGAAAGTGGGATACTCCAAATTCGGGGGTCAAAAAAGGGTTGTATGAAGGAAATTGAGGTTGTCAGCCAAAAAGACAGGGTTTTGACAAGGTATGACTTTTGCCATTGTTTCTGGTAATGGTTTTCTCTTTTCTTCCTCAACTGTCAACCTTCCAACCCAAATGTCCACCATTTTCTCTCCATTAAACTGACCTACCACAAACTATATCTTTTGGAAAACTTACTCCTTTCGTAATTATATATATATATATATATTTTAACGCCGCGGAGGTTGTTAACAACTCCGCCGGTCCAAAGTCTGGGTTAAGAAAGAGGGTTGTGTGTTAGGTAGCCGACAACTAACAAGAGAAGAAACTATTAAATAAGGAACATGGAAGTACGGTAATACCAAGACTATAGATTCTAGCGCAGGATTAGGAACATTGGAGTAAAGATTGCACTTGAGAAGATGAAAGCAAATAAGATTTTAGGACCCAATGATATTCCTATTGAAGTTTGGAAGTATTTGGGTAAAAAGGGGTTGCTTGGTTGACTAGATTGTTTAGTAAAATTTTGTTGATTAGAAACATGTAAGATGAGTGGAGGAAGAGTATTTAGTGCCAATCTATAAGAATAAAGGAGATATTCAGAATTGCAATAATTATAGAGGAATCAAGTTAATGTGTCATATAATGAAAGTGTGGGAGGGGGTGATGGAACGCTGATTGCGAGATATAACAGAGGTGTCAGAGAATCAATTTGGGTTTATGCTTGGCAAGTCAATAATGGAGGTGATTTATCTTTTGAGGAGAGTAATAGAAAAGTATAGAGAAAATAAAAGAGACATTCATATAGTGTTTATCAATCTTGAGAAAACATATGATACAGTGCTCTGGGATATAATATGGTGGGTGTTAAAGAAGAAAGGGGTGACAAAAGGTTACATTGATGTGATTAAGGACATGTATGAATGGGTGGTGACCACTATTAGAGTGCCTGCTGGAGAGACAAATGATTTTCTATTACTGTAGGGTTACACCAAGGATCTACCTTAAGTCCTTATCTTTTTGCTTTAGTTATGGATGAGTTAACTAGAAATATTTAGCATGACGTGCTATGGTGTATGCTTTTTGCAGATGATATTGTGCTAGTGGATGAGACAAGAGAAGGAATTAATACAAAGTTGAAGATTTAGAGAAAGGCTCTTGAATCTAAAGGATTCCGGATAAGCAGAACTAAGACAGAGTACATGAAATGTAAATTTAGTAGCAGTAACAATGAAAGTAGAAGAGAAGTGAAGATTGAGAACCAAAAACTGCCTAAGAGTGAACATTTTCATTATTTAGGATCATTTATCACAACAGTGGGGGAGATTGATGTGGATGTGGCCCATAGGATTAAGGCGGAATGGTGTAAGTGGAGAAGTGCGTCTGGGGTACTGTGCGATAAACGAATACCCACTAGACTAAAAGATAAGTTCTATAGAACGGTTATTAGACTAGCGATGTTGTATGGGACGGAGTGTTGAGCAATCAAGAAATAACATGTAGATAAGATGAGTGTGACTGGGATGAGGATGCTAAGGTGGATGTATGGCCAGACTAGACAAGACAAGACAGAACTAGGAATGATTGTATTCGGGAATGAATAGGAGTAGCACCAATAGAAGATAAGTTGAGAGAGAATCGATTGAGATGGTTTGATCACATTCAACGCAGACCAACAACAGAGGCAATAGTAAAGAGATGCGATACTGTAATGGTAGATGGAGTATTAGGGGACGGGGTAGGCTTAGATTAACGTTGGCTAGCGTTGTAAATAGATATATGGATCTACTTAATTTGATTAACGAAATGGCCTTTGATAGGGCCGCGTGGAGAAGAAAGATTCATGTAGCCGATCCCATTTTATGAGACTTAAGGCTTGGTTTTGGTTTGGTTATATTAATTTTTTTTGTAACTTCTACAATTCCAACCTTAGATTTTTTGTGGCCTAGGTATCAATTTCAATTTGGGCACAATTCCCTAACATAGATGCCTTCTTGAGTTCCTTCTAGGAAGCACAATATTTTGTGGATTGTTGATAATGTTTTTGGTTGATGGTTTTGTGTTTTATTTATGAATAAAACCATACTTATGAACTTGTATTTTGTGATAGAAAAACTGTGAATGGGTTTCTAATGTAAAGGACGAGCTTTACGGTTTATGAACTGCCCCATCTACAATGAACAATCTGACCAAGAAATAACTATTTCTAACTATTTCTCAAAATACTAATCAAACATCTACTGATAACATTACTCGAAAGAATGCAATGAGTTTCTTCTTGAGTATTTACGATTATATATACTTTAGTTTTTACAACCCTGATTATTGTAAAATGTTCGTCTCTTTGGGACCTTATTGTTGAAATGATTCATCTTTTCAATTTTTTGTTATGGATGTATAGGTGCCAAAGGGGCATGTTTGGATTCAGGGTGATAATATTTATGCATCGAAGGATTCACGGCATTTTGGTCCTGTTCCTTACGGCCTTATTCAAGGCAAAGTATGTTGCCGGGTAAGTATCTCTCCTTATCATTGGTTCTTAGATTTTTTTCTTCTTTGTTGCAATTTTTTTTTCTTCGTGAATTTAAATTGTAATAATTATCAATTACCTCTTTATTTCCAGTGTATTTCAGGGATACAAAATTTATAACTGTTATGCAGTCAGTTTTTCAACTTTTTAGTACTCGTAGGGTTAAAGGATGTTAACATGGAGCTGAGGTTATGTAGTTTATACTATCTATCTTTACATGAATAAGTTATTTTCAACATTCCTTGTGTTCACATGCTAACTCTTAAATTGTGCAGTCAACTAGATTAATTTTAGAATACTTTGATCATATCTACTTTGGTCACTGTAACAAGATTAATTAATGGATAGGTTGATTTTATGAGTTGCACTCAAAATGACTTGGCAGATACCTGTACTTGCATTTCATGATTTCCATCCCACAAATTTCACAATCTACTACAATTTTACATGTTAGTATTTTCTTTACTTTTGGTGGTTTTGCATCGCATCTGATACGCATTCTGCAGAATGGCTTATCATAAGAAGCATGGTCACTTCTAAGATGGTGGCCTGTCCTTGTCTGACATGTGTTGGACACCACCACTTGTTAGACACTTCCAACAAGTGTTGGATATATGTCCATGTAAGATAAGAAGTTTTGAATATAACAGAAATATATTCCTTCTTCCTCATATTTTCGGAGTTCTTCTTCCTCATATTTTCTAAGTGTCCAAAATGTCCTATTATTTCAAATTCAGACCCACTTAAGACACTTGGAGGACACATGCGTGTTCATCGCTTAGACACACATGAAGTAGATTACAAGTTTGAATAAAACAACTTGGGATCTAATGATTAAAAAAATAATAGAGATTTATACTTACAAATCCATTGTCCTTCAAATTTTAGAAATTCGTGTTATGTTGTTTGTTTTTATTAAATTTGAATGAAATGATTATACACATGACATTTAATAAATATATAAAATTATAGATATTTTGAATGTCCCCCACTTGTCATGTATTGTATTTTTTGAAAATTATTGTGTTAGCGTATCCGTGTTGTGTCACATGTCCGTGTCCGTGTCTGTGTTTGTGTTTGTGCTTGTGTTTGTGCCTGCCTGTGCTTCTTAGGGCTTAGGTTTTTTGTTATAACATGAATTTTTTATTTTGTCTGCAGGTATGGCCCCCTGATGGCTTCGGGTTGTTGGCATAACAAGTGTAACATCTGTTTTATCTATCTAAAGGTATTCTTGGTTGTTGGCATAATTTTTTTGTTTTTATTTTTTTTTGCTTATTTCGGCCTACGTTAATACTTTGAGAGTAACCAGAATGGCCTCCATTTCCAGTCCAAACATTACTCATCTTTGTTCATAACTACTGTTTTAATCCCTGGTTCAGCGAGAGACTTCTAAGCATATGAATTACAACCAATTGGCTCCGACCAATAATGCCATCCCTTTTTTAATCTTTGTTTCAAGTGATTTTTGGCTTGAAACATAATCAATCTGGACTTATACATTCCCTTGCCATCGCAACCCTTCCAAATGAGTCACAAAATTGCTATTATTAGTTCCACTTCTTGCTTACCTTGGCAGTTCACTCATTTAATCTTCTCACTAGGCACGCCCTTGACCACTCAGTGAGGAAATAGGGCTCCTCCCCTAAGAGATACCTAACTTTCATTCCAAACTATACCCTTTGTATGAGTACAATGAAGCACAGACACTTCTAAGAATGTGGCATATCCATGTCGGACACCAACACTTACTGGATACTTTCCAACATGTGGCAATAGTCATCCAAATGTGTCCTTTTATTTTTTAAATTTTTTTAGACTCGGACGCTCTTTGGACAATTAGGGGACATACGTGTCCATCACTTGAACACATATGAAACTAATTATAAGTTTGAACAAAATAACTTAGGGTGCAACGATAAAAGAGAAATAATGTAAATTTGTAAAAATTGGTATTTTGTTGCGTTTTTTAATTGTCTTTGAATAATATATTTATATATATATGATCTATTATATATATTTTATGTGTGTTTCCTATGTGTCGTGTCTTGCATTTTTTGAAAATTGCGGTGTCAGCATGTTTGTGTCCATGCTTCTTATATGAGTAAATAGTCAAGGATTAAATGTCTGAAGGTTTACAAGAAATATTCGACAAGACTTTTGTCTGCAAACTATTAAGCATAAATGTTCATCTTGCTTGCTTATAAAGAAAAATTATTAAACATAAATGTAATATACCTTAGCATTGAGTTTCTAAATGCTTAGAGGCATTTGAAGTCTGATTCGATATCCACAACTACTAAGATGCTAAGTTGTTATCAATGTGTTTGGTTTCAGTTTTTTAGATTCAATTTTCTGAAAATTGAGTTTTTTATTTTTTTATTTTTTGTTTTATTTTTTGTTTTTAGTGAATATTTTTAAAATTTAAAGTATTTTTTTTTTAAAACTTTTTTAGATGTACCTTATTTAGATGTATCTAAAAAGTAAAATATTTGTAAAAAAATATTTTTTAAAATCAATAAATAAATACTCAAGAATACGAAAAATGTACTGAATTCTAGTCTCTTTTTTAAAATTTTTTTTTTGGGTGGTATTTTTGGTATTTAGTGAATTTTCTAAAGTTTTTTTTCACAAATATTATACTTTTTAAGTGTAATTATGTTAGGTGTATCTAAAAATTAAAAAAATTCAAAACAAAAAATTTTAATTTTTTGAAAAGTGAATCCTGAAGATCTAAACTAAACAAACTGAATACTTGTTATTTGGAAGATTCAACCCTATGCCTTGTGTAAGATTTAAGTGAGCACCATATTGGGTTTGGATTAATGCTAAGGTATGGGTAGGTGCATGTACTTAAGAAGGAGAAAGCTGAAACCAAAGTGTTGTAAGATCATTGTCATCGCCATTTTTGCTTCCAGTATTACAAATTTCTCTCCAACACATACTTGGGGACCATTGCCAAAAGGAAGAATGTGCCTTGACTATCAGTTATCTTTGAAATTCCTTCAGAAAATCTCTTTGGCTTGAACTCTGCTGCATCTTCACCCCATATCTCATGATCATGATGAAGCACAACAATTGGCACAAAAAGTTCTAGGTATTTCAAAGGCTGAGACTTTATTAGCTGAGTGATATTCCAAATGTATTGTGCCAGTATACTGTTTGTACCATGATAGAGTGATGTGCCTGTGTACATGCATGGACACACACTCATGAAACATAATGTGTGTGTATATATATGGAACACACAAATATGTGGATAATTATACTTGGATACATACATATACAACTAACTATACATAAGCTAAGAAACATGGACACAGACACCTAACACGACACGGACACTCAAATTTTCAAAAACTGTAGAACACGACATGCTGAGGACACGTGCAAAACATATAATTTTATATGTTTATTATATGCCATGTTTTTAAATATTTAATAGAGACAAGAAAATTACAAAAAATAAATAAATAACTCAGGGTTTGAGCCTTCTAACAAAATAACTCTGAGTTTTTAATTTTATCAATTTAAATCCTAATTTGTTGATTTGTTTTCAATTTAAACCATTCACTTATTTTCGTTAAGTAAAGCCAACCGAAAAAGAGTATTTTAGTTATTAAACTCAATGTAGATATACATAAAATGTCTAAAATACACATTTTCATTGAGTTTAATGACTAAAATACTCATTTTTTCATCGATTTGACTGAATAAAAATAGGCAAATGGTTTAGATTGAAAACAAATCAAAAGCTTAGAATTTAAATTGATAAAATTAAACTCCCAGGATTTATTTTGTTACAATGGTCAAATTTTGGAATTTTTTTGGTCACATATTTAATTTTATCAAATTTATCAACCTTAGGTATGCTATTTTAGTAAAAAAAAATTAAATTTTTTTTAAAAAAAAAAAAAAAAAGTCCTCAATGTGTCCCAACGTGTGAGTTTAATGACTAAAATACTCATTTTTTCATCGATTTGACTGAATAAAAATAGGCAAATGGTTTAGATTGAAAACAAATCAAAAACTTAGAATTTAAATTGATAAAATTAAACTCCCAGGGTTTATTTTGTTACAATGGCCAAATTTTGGAATTTTTTTGGTCACATATTTAATTTTATCAAATTTATCAACCTTAGGTATGCTATTTTAGTAAAAAAAAATTAATTTTTTTAAAAAAAATAAAAAAAAAAAGTCCTCAATGTGTCCCAACGTGTTCAACACGTGTCCATGTCCGACACATGTCGGACACCTATACGTGACCTCCGAAGAGGTGTCCATGCTTCATAGTATATAGGTATACATGTATTTATATGTATACATACAAATATCTATATATCAAGAGAGGTAGCTCGCCATTTTACTTTAAATTTTGGTGCAAGCATATGTTCACAAGTGGTAGTTTGATATGTTCAATAACAACTGAAAATGAAGGTTTTTTTTACTCTTATTTTTCTTTCTTCAGATGCAATTGTGGTAGGTACATAAATTTTTATTCAACTCGTCCGTAGAAAGTGTTAGTTTACCTTTTTGGTGTCATGAATTTTACTAATTATTTTGTGCATTACATGTTTTTTCTATTAAAACAAGTGTATACGTGGAAATCTTACTCAGTTTCATTAATTTGAGACCAAAATCAAAATAAAATCTATGAATATAGAAAATGCTCACAACTTTCAAGTGATTTAACCCATTGAAATCTGGTTTCTTGTCCCTAAACATAATCAAAACCTCTTCTCTAGCAAGAGCTTGCTACGCTTGATGCTTGCTCAGCAAAACTATTGTCCACACAAGCAAAATTGAGGTGGTCTCTTGCCCACACTCCTCAATTACTTCTTCAGTGCTCATTGCCACGTTCTTTTTGTTTCCTTTTTTTTGAAGTGCTTTATTTTGTTTGAGTAGTATTTCCATCATCACCATCTTCTCCATCCTTGATTGCTCTCTCTTTTATTGATGATATCTCGTAGTAAAGATCCCATTTCATGATGCATTTCTTTTATCCTCTTGTTTGTTTTCGTTGGCAGAAACCTACATGTGAACAACTTTCGAAAGGATGAAGGCATGAAACGAAGGGGTGGGGGAGGAAAGAAAATATGTTGCTTTTCATTTGTTACTTGTGCTCTTTATTTCAGTTTTCTTTTCCTCAAGTCTAGTTGTTCCGGAGACAAAGGAGAAGAAAAATTAGGAATGTTAGAACTGTTTGAGCTTGGGAATGATTGTCAAAAGATTTGATGTATTATAGACAAATCGAAAATAAATTACCTGGGCTTCATTCATTAGGATTTTAGTAAACTCAGACGAGATCAATCATCTTCTAATTTTGATTTACATGTGATATTGAAAGATGTTAAACCCTCTAATCTCTGAAGACTTTTATCTCAATTCCTACCACAAACTTTTTAACTAAACAAAACTACTCATTGCAGACTAAATAGAAAGTATATGAGCTGGATCTGAAGATATTTTAAGCTTACCTCCAACCTGGGATGTAAACTGAGTGCAAAAGTTGGATTATAAGTTTAGTTTGTTATCTTTGGAGTTGGAATATTCTTTTCCCTCCTTCATAACTACTATCAAATGCTGTCCGAGATATCAGATCAGCAGACAGTTGTGTAAGATCAGGCCATACGTCTAGTTCACATGACACTGTTGTTGAGACTAACTCCTTCCATTTGTTTATCATCTTGCAGCAACTTGAGTACATTGCCAGTACCATATTCTGTAACACCAAAGGAAGAGCCACACAATATCATACTGCTGTGGAAGTTATTTCTTTGGAGGTTGATGCGCCTAGAGGCAATTCAAGGAAAACACATGAATGCCAAACACAAATAAAAACACTTGCAAATACGTTTTTAATCTTTCTTTCTTTCTACCATTTCTTCGAGGGTGAGTGTAGTAGGTGGAGAGTAGGTGAGGAGTAGGTGGTGGTAGGTGATGGTAAATTGGTGGTAGGTGATGGTAAATTCTAACACACATGAATGCCAAACACAAATAAAAACACTTGCAAATACGTTTTTAATCTTTCTTTCTTTCTACCATTTCTTCCCCTTGTTTATCTTTTTCTTAATTAACCTTTTGATGGGAAACAAAAAAAAGGCATTGGAAAAAGGAAAATTGGAGTTTAGTGATTTACTAATTTCTTGGCATTATATTATATTTACTAGGTTTTATTGTTTTATTAGTATTTAATTATTGTAGTTGTTTTGGTAACTTTTATTTGGGTTTCCTAGAACCACCCCACCCCCCCGCCACGCGCCCCGCGTTCTTCTCTTTCTACCTCTTGTCTGTCCAAATGATGGGTAGTGAAAAGGCATTGGTGGAAGAGAAATTGAAGATTAGGGATTTAATGATTTATCCTGGCATTATTTTATGTTTATCAGTCTTTTTGTTGTTGTTGTTGTGGTTTAATTAGTAGTTAATATAAGTTTTTCTTAATTTTTGGCATCTTTAATTAGGATTTTTTGGATACCCATAGATAGGCCTCTATGTAATAGGCTTTGCAGACTTGAATTGGATATTGACTAATCGAAATATTTGATTTGGGACTGTATTCCCTGTTTTACTCCTCCCCTCCTCTTCTCTTTCGACCTATTTTATCTCTCTCTTTCTTTCTCTTCTTCTCCTCTACTGCCTACTGGTGCAGCATCACCTTCGGGCAGTTTCAGTGGAGTGTATTTTGAAAGAAGTGCTAAAAAACTGGTTATAAATTGAGCATTGATGAAACAAAGATTTTAAGATGGATGAGCTGATAGCTTGGAAAGGATAGACAGATCCCATCTAAAGTTATATACTGTATGTTCTAATGATATTTTTCCTAAAAACTGGAGTGAGTTTATTCTTTTTATAGTGTTGCATCAGTCAATTCAGTTCCAAGCTCCAAGCTTGAGCTTCTTTTGAAAAATCTTTCCAAATAAATGCTGTCAGGATCAAGTGCATTGTTACATGGATGACAATGTGGATCGACTATGATACTCTTGCCCCTCAGTCTATTTGTCATAGGTAATCTTTCTCTGCATAACATCTTTACATCCGTAGTATAAAGGCACATTTGGAAATAGTTTGAGGAAACTGTACATATTTTCCCACAACACTTTTGGATGATGAATTCTATTCTCTTCTTAGGTCACCTAGTTCATCTAGTAGAGATGGCGGATCACAGGCCAATTTGCATATTGACAAATTGGCAAGGAAAACTGGTCAAACTCAGGCAAATCTGCAGACTTCTTTAGAAATTCAGCTGCAACCAACTGTGAGCTGCCTCATGTGTGAAACTCATGGTACGAAGTCGCACCATGACACTCCTACTCGTGCTCATGAATGAGCCTCCCAGGTATTTAAACTGTGATCTCTCATCAATAGGCGAAAAGCCATACCACTAGGCTGATGTTGAACACCTTGTTATGAATTGTGCCTTCGTTTTATTTATCATAAGGAAAGCATATGTAAATTGTAATTTAATATTGCATACAGTATATATTAATTACTTTTATTAAAATACTAATATATAAAAAAGTTGTGAAACCATTAATAATATGTATAATATCAACATATATGAATTTATATATATTGATCCTCAGGAGGCACTCACGCTCTCAAGATATTTTTGGAAAAGTTGCTCTCGCCTCTGCCCCTGCTCCTGCTTCTGTAGTTGCTCTGTGATTTGGTGATTCAGTGCCTTCCCATTTAGCGTGTACTTTCTAGTTTTTGAAGGCAACCAAAAGACTTCGTCTTGGGATGCTGGTAGAGGTTGTAGTGAAGATGAGGTAAGAGTTTTAGTTGTAATCTCTCTCATCTCTCTCATGTTCTTTGTCCTGGCCAGTGTTAGCATAATGCTTAGAAAGGGAAGATACATAGTATTATAGGTTTAATTCTGGTACATAAAAAAGAGGTAGTAGTAAGAAAAATGACTTAACTATTGGGAATCAATGGGTAGCTTTAAAAAAAAAAAAAAAAAAAAAAAGAAAGAAAAAAACTCTTCCATTCCTTGAAAGTGTAGAACATTAAAAAGACCACAAATTACCTTCAATTTTTCTAAACGGAAAGCTGGGTTGAGAAGGGTTCTGTGCTTAGCCCACTTCTCACCTTCACGCCCTAGAAGTCCCGTCTGTAGCAGCTGCCCAAGTGGATTCAACTTTGGCTTTTGAAAGGCATCATTTTGAAACAAGATTTCCTTTATCAGATTAGGTTCCATAATGTTCACTCTTGGTGTTGTGCCCATCCATATAAAATAACCCTTACATGAAAGTATTTTGGCCAATTGTTTGCCGGCTGAGAAATTAGTGAGAACATACTGAGAAAACTTACTCCGATCTCATTGTTTACATGAAAACATTTTTTTTTATCGGCAAAAGTCAGTTGTTATTAGTTAAACTAGCATCTACGGGAGGTAGTCTCCCCACCCTAGCAAAATACAAAATGCTTGCCTTCTAATTTAACCCCCTTTAAGGAGAGTTAAATCCATGACTTCCCTGACTGAGTCCTTAAGAGAGTCATGCTAGGCCTGGTTGGTTTATTTGCATGAAAACATACCATGAAGTTTGCAAATGTTGGTGGAACAGTAGGACACAAGGCATAATATCTTTAGAGGACTTGTCCATGGGTTTGGATTGTGCTTCTTTTATCATTGACATCATTTCTTTGGCATCTCCATACAACAGTTTATAGGGATTTCCCTTGAAACCTTGCTGTCTCAGACACTTCTCTAGCTGCTTTGGCCTCAACATACCTTCTTTTATCATTGACATCAATTCTTTGGCATCTCCGTACAACAGTTTGTTGGGATTTTCCTAGAAACCTTGCTCTCTCAGACACTTCTCTAGCTGCTTTGGCCTCAACCATACCCAGTTCACTACCCTCCATAGGCATGTAAGCAAAGCAACCAAAACCAAGGTGATAATAATGGAGGTTACCATGACTTCCATCATCGTTCGGAAGAGAGAGAGAGAGAGAGAGAGTTGGTTAGTTGGTCCTTATAGAGAGAGGGCACAATGAAGAGTTCAGATATTCTAAAGTTAAGTAGTTGAGTAATTTGCGAAGTATACATACACACGAGCCTCTTCTCCAACAGAAAATTTGGTCTATAAACCCATTTTGCTTTGTTTTATTTGTAGTAATAAACGACCACAGCGTTTGTTTACTTTGTCAAAACTGAAAATTCTTGAAGAAGCCGATTGATTGCACAACATATATTTATGTATCTTTAATTTATCAAAAAGAAAAAAATATGTATATTTAAGTGGGAGAATCAAAATCACTACGGAAATATAGTGTTAGAGACTTGTTTTACATCGCTCAAATGTCAATTGATTTAAAGTTAATGCTTTCAAAGTTTCTTGCAGCATAGTTGGGTTTTGAGTAGTGTGCATTCCGGGTATGTTATTCTCTTGTTTCACACAATTGTAAACCCCCCCCCCCCCCCTTTTTTTGGCACTTTAAACAAAAAAAAAAAAAGGGCTTGTAAAAAGATCAAAATTTGAGTAATAAAAAAGTATGTGTCACAAATATTGTCTTAATGCATGACATTTAACATCTTGTTGCCCCTCTTTGTGAACAATTATTACCTGCCACTTAATGTAATACCCCAAACAAATGTATAATGCGTCACTCCACTAATTTATTAGGTGCTCATGGTCTGAGAAAATGCCGCATTCTATGAAAGGGAAATGGTAACTACCGTCCAATGAAAAGTGATTAATGTTAGTATATCGTAAAAAGTGTACTGCGATATATGAAAATGGATCATAACATATATAGGGATTAGTTTCTTTCCAATAGGGGTGGGCAACGGTTTATCCGATCCTCAAAAGCCGTCCAACCTGTCCAATCCGCACACAAATGGACGGTTTCGCAAATACAATGCGAGCGGATGTGATTTGAAATATGACATCTTTGCGGGTTGCAGGCGGGTTGCGGGTTTAACCCGTACCCACAAGAAACTATCCGCACTTTATTTATTTATTTATTTTTATCTTAACTATTGTTTTCATTTTTATATCCCACCTAAATATTTTTGTCTAAAACAAAACACCCTTTATTTTTTAAACTTACTCTAACATTACATTTGCTAATAGTATTATATCAACTGAAACTGAATGAATACTAATCATATAACCGTCCAACCTGTCCAATTCGCACACAAATGGACGGTTTCGCAAATACAATGCGAGCGGATGTGATTTGAAATATGACATCTTTGCGGGTTGCAGGCGGGTTGCGGGTTTAACCCGTACCCACAAGAAACTATCCGCACTTTATTTATTTATTTATTTTTATCTTAACTATTGTTTTCATTTTTATATCCCACCTAAATATTTTTGTCCAAAACAAAACACCATTTATTTTTTAAACTTACTCTAACATTACATTTGCTAATAGTATTATATTAACTGAAACTGAATGAATACTAATCATATTATTATTGTTACATAACTGAACTTGTCTCGGATGAAGTGTGATTTGGAATTTTAAATTCCTTAATGAATATGGAGTTATAGTTTAGGATTTTGAAATATATGCTTGTGTTAGTTTATGAATTGATTTAAGATTTTGAATGATTTGTTTGTATTACGAATTGATTTTATTGTATTTTTAATTTTATAAGTTTTAATTCATTAATTATTAATGTTGGAGCATTTTAGAAAATGGGGAGAAAATGACCCAAAATAAATATTTACAAAATGGGAAAAAAATAAGGCTCAAAAATAATTTTTTGAAGAAAAAAGTCCAATCCGCAAACCGCCCGCACATCCGCGAACCCTACCTGCACAAACCGCACTGCAGGCGGTTGTGGGTTGTCTTTTTCCCAAACTGCATAGATGCGGACGGGTCCAAACCGATCTGCAAACCGTCCAAATTCGAACCGCGAACACCCCTACTTTCCAATCCTCATCTAGAGTAGAGAGGTGCAGTGTGAGCTTATAGAGTTCACTACAAGTTCTGTTTTGATAATCTAGTTATTCATTTTTTAAAACTCTTCGTCTATATCATTTATTAAAAAAAAAATTAAGTCGATTCAATAATAACAATAGTTTCATTTTATTATATTTAGTTTTAAAAAAATAAATGGTTTATTTTTAAAAATATACTTGTCATTTATTTTTTTTATTGTCAAACGTGATGAAATGAAGATGTTATCATTATTGAATTAATTTAATTTTTTTTAATGATATATATTAAAAATTAAAAAATAAATAATTTAAATTATTAAAATAAAATTAGGGATAAACTCTTTGGAGAGCGGGAGAGAAGCCTGTCTAATATATATAATATTCTAGGGAGAGAAGCCTGTCCAATATACTATATAATATTCTATGCGCATTCAGCGCCAAGTCTCGCGTTTCACGCGAGGTCTGTTCCAATAACTCATGACATGACTCTGGTGCAAAAGTGCAAATATTTAAATTAACACTCCGTTTGCTAACAAAATGTTGAAAATTAGTCCTTCTCTTAATGTTGTTTTTGGTTGGGAAATTTGAAAAAGAATTTAAAAAGAGAAAGAAAAGAGATTGGTAAAATATAAATAAAATATATTTATATTTAATTTAATTTTTTTAAAATTCTTTTTGGGAAGTGATTGAGACTCCTCTAATCACTACTCTCACCATTCCATACATACGTGGGGCTGATGATTAGAGAAAAAAAATAAAATAAAAATAAAAATTATTGATCAATAAAACAGAGAAGGGGTCAGGGGTCACGGGAGTGTCCCTTATGGGTCGAAGTCATTTTTCATTCCTTTTTAAGTCTTCTAATCAATCAGGGAAAGGCTCCATCCACTCTTTTCTGTCCCTGTACTTGTCTAGCTAGTTGGCCCCACTTATAATGAAACACACCATAATACTCTTTTTAACTTTTCTTTGGTCATGAGTTATCATCAACCCTACAATAATTCACTCAGTGGTGGTCACCACTTAGTAGGTGACAGAGAATAGAAAAATATAAATAAATGATTGCGGTATGAATCATGATTCATAGTGATGATACATTTTGGAAAAGTCAACATAAGACATCTTTCTTTATCAATTTTAATAATACAAACTTTATTCGTATAATACTAGTCACCTTGCTTATTTTTATTTTTTAAAAAGCACTTTTCAAATAATTTTACTTTCTTATTTTTTATATTTTTTTATTTTTATTAAAATTTTTTAATATTTTAAGTAATTTTTTTACTTTTCAGACACACCTAATATAAATACACCTAAAAAGTAAAAAAATTATAAAAAAAATCTTTTAAAAATTCACTAAATACCAAAAATATAAAAAAAATACAAGAATTCAGTACATTTTTTGTATTTTTATGTATTTATTAATTTTTTAAAATATTTTTTCACAAATTTTTTATTTTTTAGATAAGGTGCATCTAAAAAAGTAAAAAAAAATATTTAAAATTTAAAAAATATTCACTAAAAACAAAAAAATACGAAAACTAAAAAAGTTAATTTTCAAAAAACTTAATCCAGAAAACTCAAATCAAAATTTTTTTTTTTTGTCCTCTCAACCTTTTGCTTTCTTAAAAAAAAAAATTGTAAGGGTAGTAGATGAGGAAGCCCGCTATGGATATTTGTACTTTTCTAATTATTAATAAAAGTTAGTTTTTGCTGATAATAAAAAAAATCTTTCAAATAATGCAAGGCTTTTGGGAAAGGTTGTCTAGAGGAGAGAGATTTTAGAGAGAGGGACTAGATGGTGGTGGTTTGCATATTGTTGTCGGCAGCCAATGTTTTAGAGAGAGGGACTAGATGGTGGTGGTTTGCATATTGTTGTCGGCAGCCAATGGTTGTTAGAACAAATTAGCACTGGTTTCAGTGACGGAAGTGATTATGGGTTGTCACGGACTTAGAAATCGTACTTATGTCACTAGCCCCATTGGATGTTTAGGGTTGTAATTGAGTCTTGTGCCTAAAATCCAGAATCAAACTAATCTTGGTCATCAACTTCATATGAGCATTGGTATGAAACAGTCTCATTTGATTTTGATTGCTAAGATTTCGACACCAGAAACTATACAAAACATTTAGCAAGACTTTGTTCTATATTCCATAAGCTAGTCACTGTAAATGTTACATAGTAAATACCTTCGTATTGAATTTCCAAATGCTTGTAAGCATATTAAATTTTATTCTAGTACAATATTAACCACAAAGGTATGATCCTCATTTTCACAAATTGTTGTTGCAAAGATTTAGATCCTAGATTTTCTGTAAGATCAAGTGAGCACCATGTTGGGGTTGGAGTGTCAAGATTTGGAAAGGAGCGTGCACATACGATGGAGAAAGCTGAAATGAGAAGTGTTGCAAAATCATTGCTAAGGCTATTTTTGCTTCCACCATTGCGAAGTTTTGTCCAATGCATATACGAGGACCCCCACCAAACGGAAAGAATGTGCCTGGGCCCTTTGTTGCCTTTGTAATTCCTTCAGAAAATCTCTCTGGCTTAAACTTCGTTGCATCTTTACCCCAAATTTCAGAGTCATGATGGATTGCAATCATTGGCACAAAAAGATCCACTCCAGGGGGTAGAACAACTTCTCCTAGTCTTGTCTTGTTTCGTATAGTTCGAATCATGAAGGCTAGTGGGGAGTATAACCTAAGAGCTTCATAGAGAATCATGGTAATCTGCATATGAAAGGTTACCCGAATTTTAAAGATTGAAACTTCATTAATTAATGAAGTGGTATTCTGTATACAATGCACAAGTATAATTAAATTGACCATGTACTCTTACAATAATGACGTGATACCCGTGTGCATATGCGTGTATTCCTTGCACACTCGTGTGAAAATACATAGACCTAAAATATATAATACATAAATTCGCAAAGCACAAATATAATACATGCATATATATATATAGATCATAAGGGGTATTTTGCGGTGCAAATTTAGAGTTTAGTAAAGAGAAGTCCCGCCATTCATGAAATTTTCACCTTCTTTTAATGCAATTGTATTGAACATTTAAATTTCTTCTTCACAAGATGATAGCTTTTCCTTTTTGATTGTATACTATTTGTGAACTATCAAATAATATTTGTCTATTAAATTTTTGTCCAATTGAAAAGATGATGTATGACTGGCAAAAAGTGTGGTAGTTAGTTCTACTAATTTGAGAAAAATTCCAAAAATTGATTTATGTGAAGAATACTCACAGTTTTAAGTTTATTTAACCCATCAGAGTCTGGTTTGTTGTCTCCAAATACTGCCAAAACCTCTTCTCTCGCTTGAGCTTGCCACTTTTGATGCTTACTCAACAAGACCATCGTCCACACAAGCAAAGATGAGGTGGTCTCTTGCCCAGCGATATAGAATAGCTTGCACTCATCAATCACCTCTTCTATTGTTAATGTGATGTTTTTCTCATTTCCTTGTTCTTGACTTGCTTTCAAATTTGTTTTCAATAGTATTCCCAATAAATCATCATTTCCATCGTCTCCTTTCATAGCTTGCTCTCTTTTGTTGATGATGATATTTTTCAGTAGAGTTCCCACTTCATTATAGATTGCTTTCATCCTCTTGTTTGTCTTCGTTGGTAGAAACCTACAAGCAAGTAAATCTTGAACAAATCTAGACATGAAGAAAGTAACCAAAATAGAAGGCTTCAAAATTATTTTCACCACTTGTTGGTTTGTTTAAGATATATATATATATATATTTCAGATACCTCCATCCTGGAATGTAAAATGACCGCAAGAGTTGGATTATAAGGTCGGTTTGTTCTTTTTGAAGTTGGAATATCTTTTTTCCTTCTTCATAGTTACTACCAAATGCTGTCCGAGAAATCACATCGCCTGTGAGATTATCAAGATAAGGCCATACATCAACCTCACATGACCCTTTTGTTGATGAGACTAACACTTCCCATTTGCTTATCATCTCACTACAACTTGAGCACATTGCTGGTACCATATGCTATATAGCAAACACCAAACACATTGTTAAGCACTGACTGTAAGCACAATAGTGAAGAAAAGAAGTCGAGATTAGAGATTACCTTCAACTTTTCTAGATGAAAGGCTGGGTTGATAAGGTTTCTGTGCTTAGCCCATTTCTCACCTTCATACGACCCAAGCCCTCGTACTAGTAATTTTCCAAGTGGGTTATTGGTTGGTTTTTGAAAGACTTCATGGTTAAACAAAATCTCCTTTATATGTTTAGGATCTGCAATGGTCACTCTTGGTGTTGGGCCCATCCATTGAAAGTAATTTTTACCTGAAAGTTTCTTAGTAAAACAATTAGCTCTAGCAGAATAAGATATCAAGTAAAACGAGCTGTTTTATTTTTATTTTTATTGGAACAAGTGAAATAAGCTTAAGAATCTTGATATTGATGATATAAATATTTGTATCACGTCTTCTTTCAAGCATATATAAGTTTTTAAATTAGATAATTGCTAAAATAGTATTGTAAATTAAACATTCAGAATACTTGATTATTGCTATATGTAGTCAAGACATGTTTATGCACTTTTTAGAGAATGTGTTGCTTAATCTATTTATCTCACCACCACCACTAAAGAAGCCAATGGTAATGGAAGACAATATCAACCTAGAATTTTATGAGTATGATGCATCTTCAAGCTTGGCCCAAATTTAATTTGAATTTCTAAATTGTTGCCTAAGACTGCAAGTAGCTAAAAAATATGTTGTCCAAGCCTAAAATGTTTTGAACTGGGATCTGGTTATTAGGATTGGCCCGCTCAAATTGCACCCCTGTTTTTCCATTTGTTTCATTCCCTTCCATTCAAATAGGTGATGTTTGATTGCCAGATTTAGTTATACTATGAGATTAGATGAGATGGAGATTGGATAGATGATAGGATTATAGATAGTATTATGTAAATAAGTATTTTTGAACAGATAATTATAATTATAGGATTATAATTTTGAATGATAGGAATTATTTTTGAACATGGGATGAAGGTGAAAAATAATCTGGAGAGATCTAATCCCGTAATTCCATAATTTTCATGGTATCACTTAATTTCTCATTTTCCCGATATAATTCCCCATATCAATATTAAAATTATCAGAAGTTTTAATAGCTAAACATATAACTGATTAAAAATTCAGTGGGCTCAGATGCTCCCTATACTTTGACATCTATTTCTTATCCCACAATCTAACATCGGATTAAAAATTCAATGGTCCCATTAATTCCCTCCATGTTCAATCCACCTTTTGTAATGCAAACAATCATGCACCCTTTACTCTCTTGCTATCTGTATATTCTAATTGGTCAAACCTAATTTAGGAAAAGGAAAATTGAAGAAAAATAACATAAAATGTAGCATTCAGCTAATTGGATACTTTAGTTATCCTTGGGATAAACAAGGCCACAAAAAAATCCCAGCAAAATGTTTTAGATGAAAATTTTGGAATTTTGAAAATTTTCAGCAGTAATCACAGAAAACCCAGTTGATGATCAAGAAAACACAGATTGGATTTATATAAAGTAAATATTTTCGAGGTTATTACCAACATGGAGATCTTAATTTTACAAGAAAAACTCAAAATATCACAAATCTCATGGTGGTTTTGAGGAGACATACACATACCATGAAGGTTGACATAGTTAGGGTGGGATGGTAGGAGATGTGGGACAATATCGTCTGAGGACGTGTCCATGGATTTCGATTTTGATTCTCTCATCATTGATATCATCTCTTTTGTGTCTCCATACAACACTTTGTATGGATTTCCTTTGAAACCTTGCTCTCTCAAGCATTTCTCTATCTGCTTCGGCCTCAACCATACCCAGTTCACCACCTTCCATGCATATGTTACCAAAGTCACCAAAGCAATGGAGGCAATAATAGAGCTCACTGTTACTTCCATATTGGAGTGGAGAGAGAGAGAGAGAGAGAGACAGAGAGACAGAGATCCTACCACTAGGTACAAGCTTTATATCATGATGTCAAACAATAGATATGTATTTTAATTATGTAAGCATGACTTTAGTGTCCCAAAACTATTGACCAGTGCTCTGCATTCAACATTTGAAATGATTGTTCATTTATAATGTAAGTAGGTGAGTTTGGATTATAAAAGTAGAGTTTGTACAGTATAATTTTAGTTTTGTCAAAGCTCTGAATCAAAATTTTAGTTTTGTCAAAGTTTTGAATCAAAATTTATTAAGTTAAATTCGGGGGACATGAGCCTTAACAATCCGAATTTTATTATTAATATATATAATTATAAGACTTATTAGATTAAATTATTCTGCAATCCTGAGGAGAGGATGAAAACCCTATAAATATCTACGCTCTAATATATATTAAAGCTTATAAATATATATGTTCTAGAAGCATGTCTCTATATATAGTTTTATGAGTAATATATATATATATATATATGTTTACGTACCAAGGCTTTGACCCAAAATCCAAAAGATTTAAAAAATCAATGGCTCCAGAGACTCAGAGAGCATGAGACAGAATCAATATTGGCTGGCTGGAATTAAAAAGACAATTTTTCGAACTCAAAATTTTACTCAGAAGTATGATATGTGGCTAACATTCAATCTAACTATGGGTTCCACAATACATTAATTTAATCTTAGCCACACAATACATTAATTTAATCTTAGCCACACACTACATTTCTTGGTTGTTTTCGTGGTTCTGAATTCTTGGACAGTAGAATTTTTTGAATTAAAAATTGAAGTATGAAAATCAAAACCTATATATACATATAAAACTTAAAAATTATGAAAATCAGATTTGATTGATATTGAATCAAATAGGATTATTCGTATCCGATTGCACAATAATCGTATCAATCAGATTTAGCATAATCCTAAGCTTATTCAGAACTCATTGAGTTCAACTCGGGATTAAGCTTGGATGAACTCTCTACTCAATCGAACCCATTTGAATTGTAACCTATTTGAGATTTTCCTAAGTCTAACAATGGAATAACTAAAATTGTGTATTAACTGACAAAAAAATGATAAAAGTAGCACCTAATTTTGTGTGTTAAGTACTTATTAATTTAGGGATTAAATGAGTATTTCAATGGTGTAACTAAACTATGTGCTTTGGTCAGATTACTTTTTTGAGATGTGAATGCAAACTCTCAAATAATATATCTATGCATTGAGTATCGTTTGATTGTGAGAAACCATACCAATGCATCTAACTAAACTTCGAAGTCCATTCAATATAAATGTTATACATATAGCTTTGCATTGAATTCCAAAGGCCTAGAAGCATATTAAATTCTACAATAATGTCAGAAATCAAGAATTCAGACAAAAAAGAAAAAATAATATGTGATTCACATTCATTTTAAATGTGGACCTCACCATATTAGAGTTGAATTTAAAGCACACTATTTTTCTTGGTACATTTTAGTGTCTGATAATGATAATGGAAAAAAACATCTTTCAAATGTGAAATGCTAGGCTTTTGGGATAGGTTTACAGAGGAGAGACAGATTTTAGAGAGAGGAACTAGATAGTGGCATTTTTTGGATGGTTGTGAGCAGCCACCAATGGCTGCTAGAACAAACTAGCTCTTTGCTTCAGTGATGGTTAGTGGTTGTAGTTGTCGCCAACTTAGAAATCATACTTATGGCACCAACCTCATTGGATGTCTAGGGTGTAAATGAGTCGCGTCCAGAATCAAACTAATTAATCTTGATCGTGAACATCATATGAGCTTTGGTATGAAATGAAGTCTCATTCGATCATGATTGCCACGATTTTGACAATACCAAAACATTTAACTATAGACTTTGTTCTATAAGCCAACATAAATGTTACACAGTACATACCTTTGCATTGAGTTTCCAAGTGCCTAGAAGTATATTAAGTTTTATTCTAGTACAATATTATACATAGTACATACCTTTTCACATTTTCACATATTGTCATTGTGGAGATTTAGATCTTAGATTTTCTGTAAGACCAAGTGAACACCATGTTGGGGTTGGAGTGTGAAAACATGGAAAGGAGCGTGCACATATGATGGAGAAAGCTGAAATGAGAAGTGTTGTAAAATCATTGCTAAGGCTATTTTTGCTTCCACCATTGCGAAGTTTTGTCCAATGCATATACGGGGACCCCCACTGAAAGGAAAGAATGTGCCTGGCTCCTTCGTTGCCTTTGTAATTCCTTCAGAAAATCTGTCTGGCTTAAACTCTGTTGCATCTTCACCCCAAATTTCACGGTCATGATGGAGTGCAATCATTGGCACAAAAAGTTCCACACCAGGGGGTAGAACAAGTTCTCCTACCCTTGCCTTCTTGAGTATGGTCCGAACAATGTAGGCTACTGGGGGGTATAACCTAAGAACCTCGTAGAGAATCATGGTTATCTACATATAAAAAGTTACAAGAATTTTAAAGATTGAAACTTTTTTAAATTGAAGAAAACTCATATATGTACATACTTTCATAGACGTAGGTATACCTAGCAATAAACATACACACATGTAAGCGGTATTTTGCCATGTAAATTTGGAATTTAGTAAAGAAAACTCCCTCCATTCATGACATTTTCGATAAAAAATTTTAGGAAACAAAAGAGAAGAAATGATATATAATTTCCTACTCCAATGCAATTATAGTAGGTATTTAAATCTCATCTTCAGAATATGATTGCTTTTCCTTTTTGGTTGTATACTAATTGTGAACTTCCAAATTATTGGATTTTTTTTCCTCCTGAAAAGATGTAGTATGATAGGCAAGTAGTGTGGTAGTCAGTTCTATTAATTTGAGAACAATTTCGAAAATTGATTTAGTTGGAAAATACTCACAGTTTTGAGTTGATTTAACCCATCATATTCTGGTTTTTTGGCCCCAAATACTGCCAAAACCTCTTCTCTAGCTAGCGCTTGCCACTTTTGATGCTTACTCAACAAGACCATTGTCCACACAAGCAAAGCAGAGGTGGTCTCTTGCCCAGCAAAGTAGAATAGCTTGCACTCCTCGATCACCTCGTCTGTTGTCAATGTGATGTTCTTCTTGTTTCCTTGTTCTTGACTTGCTTTCAAATTTGTTTCCCATAGTATTCCCAATAAGTCATTATCTCCATCTCCTCCTTCAATAGTTTGCTCTCTTTTATTGATGATGATATTCCTTATTAGAGCTCTGACTTCTTCACAGTTTGTTTTTATCTGCCTGTTTGTCTTTGTTGGTAGAAACCTACAAACAAGTGAATCTCAAACAAATGAAGACATAAAGAAAATACCAAAATAGAAGGCTTTGAATTTATTTTCTCCACTTATTGGTGGTTTGAGATATATATATATATATTTTTGACTTCACCTCCATCCCGGAATATAAAATGACCGCAGGAGTTTGATTATAAGGTCAGTTTGTTTTTTCTGGAGTTGGAATATCCTTTTTCCTTCTTCATAGTTACTACCAAATGCTGTTCGAGAAATCACGTCAGCTGTGAGATTATCGAGATAAGGCCATACATCAACCTCACATGACCCCTTTGTTGATGAGACTAACACTTCCCAGTTGCTTATCATCTCATTACAACTTGAGCACATTGCTGGTACCATATGCTACATAACAAACACTAAAGACACTGTTAAATGCATTTGCTGATGTGATATTGGTTCTAAATCTGCTTTAGTTAATACCTTTAGGCTGTGTTTGGATCATTGATTTGATGAGAGATTTGGAAAGAGAAAGGTTACCTTTTATCTACTCAAATCCATGATCCAAACACAACATTAGACATTTTCAGTAGACTGTAATTTGAAATGGGAAATCAATGGTTTGGTATCAAAAAGTATTATCCTTTTCAAAAAATTTAAAATTCATCCAAGAATACTGTAACATACTCTATGCATCCAAATATTTTTAAAAAGAATCTCACATTTTGAGATGATTACCTTCAACTTTTCTAGATGAAAGGCTGGGTTGATAAGGTTTCTGTGTTTAGCCCATTTCTCACCCTCATATGTCCCTAGCCCTCTGACTAGGTATCTTAAAACTAGGTTTTGCTTTGGTTTTTGAAAGACTTCATGGTTAAACAAGATCTCCTTTATATGTTTAGGATTTGCAATGGTTACTCTTGGTGTTGTGCCCATCCATTGAAAGTAATCTTTACCTGAAAGTTGTGGCCATTATTTGTCAGGGTGAGAAGAAAATGAAAGACTAGGTCTAATAAATAAAAAATTAGCAGAATACGATAACAAGTAAAAAAAGCTTTTTGTGTGTGTGTGAGTGTGTGTGTGTTTTGTTTTGTTTTGATTGGAACAAGTGAAATAAGCTTAAGAATCTTAATATTGATGATACAAATATTTGTCTTATATCCTCCCATAAGAATATGTAAACTTTTAAATTGGCTAATTGCTAAAATAGCTATATAATTTATTTATTTTTTTGGTTAATAGATAGGAGAGTGATAATAAATATGAGAAATATTTACATTATCAAACAAACCGCCCACAATAACTGAAAAGTCAACAAAACCTAACAACCAATAAATCAACTAGCCCTGGCTTAACACAACCACCACTAAGTACATAAGCCCCCATAATAGGGGAGAGATAAACCACCACAAAGAGTATCAAACTCCTCTCCATAGGAGTTGAACTCGAGACCACACACTATAAAAGATGTTACACAACCACTAGGCCAAATGCCTTACGGGATATAAATTAAACATTCAAGAATAGTTGGTTATTGCTAACATTTAGTCAAGACATGTTTATGCCCTTTTTAGAGAAGGGTGTTGCTTAAAGTATTTTATGTAGCCAAGGGTTTTAGTCTCTGTTTTCCTTGTTTATGAGCTGGTTGCTTTTTATGGGTCTTGTGTTTTGGTTTGCATCTTGCTAACTAGCTGCCTAATGTTTTTGGGATGCTCTATGTTTTTTTTGGGAATAAATAAGTAAATTTTATTAAAAAAGTACCAAGGCGATACAAGGAATACAAAAAACAAACAACCCACAGAAGGGCCAACAAAACTAAGTAAGCAAATCCTCTACAAAATTTATAAAAACAAAAACATCAGGATCAACCCAACTCATGACCCAACTGTTCAATACCAACAAAAGCCTATTCTCTAACATCCGGATGCTCTGTGCTTGCTATAGCTCTTATTTCGCTTCGGATCTTTCGTGTGAACTCTTGTTTTTCTTTATGGTTGAAACATTAATACATTTTCTTTTGTAGTATTTATGTTACTGCCACTAAAGAAGCCAGTGGTAGTGGTAGTGGAAGAGTAAAGCAACCTAGGTAATTTGCCCAAGCACGGTCTAAGTCCGCACCAAATTAAAAAATATATGGTTGAATCCTAAACAATTTTGAACTGGGCTGTGGTTTTCCAGATTGGCCAGCTCAAATTGCACTCTTTTTTGTTTCTATTCATTTCATTCCCTTCCATTCAAACATAGATTTTTTATTTTTTATTTTTTATTTTTTATAGCCAGAACACTCCCAAGGGAGGACCTTAGGATCCACCCTTACAAGCCAAATTGGGGAAGCTAGCCGATCGCAAACATAGTTTTGAATCTCCTCTTATCCAAAATCTTGTTTATTTATTTATTTTTATCAAACTAATTTCCATATTTTTTTATAAAAAGAAAAATTCACAAAACAAAATCTGAACCTCATATGGTTTTGAGGAGATAGATATGGATATACATACCATGAAGGTTGAGACAGTGATGGTAAGATGGTATGACGTGCGGGACAATATCGTCTGAGGACGCGTCCATGGGTTTGGATCTTGCTTCTTTCATCACCGATATCATCTCTTTCATGTCTCCGTACAACAACTTGTACGGATTTCCCTTGAATCCTTGCTCTCTCAACCTCTTCTCTATCTGCTTTGGCCTCCACCACACCCACTTCACCACCCTCCATGCGCATGTTAGCAAACTTACCAAAGCTACGGAGCCAACAATTGAGCTCACTGTCACTTCCATATTGAAGGGGGGAGAGAGAGAGAGAGAGAGAGAGAGAGTAACCACTACCACAAGACACCTTTATAATTTTGATGTCGCACAACAGGTATTTTAAATCATTGGATAAATCTATATAATAATGGGAGAATTGTTTTTGAATTTGTTCCAAAATGTATGAGAAATACATTTTAAATCAATGGGGTAAATCTTTTCAAACAAAAAATTAATGGATCAGATCATTTGTTTTTTCACCCATAAACTACTATTCTCTCTCCTTAAAATCTTTTTTCTATCATACATTACTCTTTCTCAAGGCATCTCCAATGGTTCAACAAAAATTTCATCAAATTTGAATAAAAATATGGCCAATTCCTCTATCTGATATTAGTCACTGTAATGGTGAACTACTATAACTTTCATCAAAACACAAGATATTCGGAGAGACGACTGGCCGGTTGACTGGCAAGAGCAAAATGATTTTTTTTTCCTTCCATTTCTGTTTCCCTCAATTCCTTTGCCATTTTTTTCCTCCTCCATGAAATCTTTTCCATTTCTTTTTACCTCCATTAATTATGGACTTCAAAAAACAGATATAAACAGATTAACGTATGACTCGCTTAACTTCTTATTTGTTCACTTCATTTTCATCCTTTTCTTCTTCCTCATCCTCTGATGATGAATGTGATGATGAAAAAATTGTGAAACTTTTGGGTTTTTATGAGATATACTGAGAAGTGATTCAGACAAACCAATAGGCATGCTCGCAACCTTTTACAAGAGCAGTTTCTTGAAGCACTATCTTATTCAAACAAATGGCAAAATTCCATGATGATTCTCACAACCCACTTGTTGACCCTTCCCCTCTGTACTCTACATTTTCCACTGAAAATCACAATCACTACATACGTAAACAAATCTCATCAACAAACAACAATAACCTTTAGGCTCTGTTTGATTGCTGAGAAAATGGATAAATTAAAGCAAGAGGAAAGAAAAGCTTCAAAACCCCAATCTTTCTCCTTAAAATTCCACTAAACTGAACCTAACCCAAGTATTCGACTCGATTGTTTTTTTCAAACCCAATTCTAGTTTATTAAAGAAAACTAGAAAAGAACATAAGAGATTCAAAGTTTTCATTTTCTCCCTTAATTTTTCTCAGGAACCAAACAAGATCTATGAGAAAGCAAACTTGTTCTTGGACCGACAGATTGTCGAGGTCATTGGTAAGCAGTTGACCCTTAATCTCAACGACGACTGCACTCACGTTGATATATATATATATAGCTCAAATGACAAAACAAAGTATCAGAGAGAAAAAGCAAAGGTTGTACAACTGAGAGCTTTTTAGAGAGAAATAAAGAAGTTGGTAAAGACAAAGAGAGGTTTGAAGAGAGAATCTATCGAATAATGCTTTGAGAGTGCTATGCCTACTAGTTCTGGGAATTATGCAGTTAACCAGATGACCGGGGGGTAACTGGCTGGACATCCAACCAATCGTCCGGTGGGTTCCGCCCCCAATGTTCACGCACAATAAACTGGTGAAAGCTGGGCCAAGTTCTCAGTTTGGTAAAAGATTTGGGATGTCCTCAGTGAAAAGTTTTATGAAACCATTGGAGACCAAAAAAGTATATTTTTTCATCAAATTTAAATTTGGTGATGGATTTGGTTAAACGTTGAAGATGGCCTCAGTCAGTGTCCTCTACCTCTCCTCTAGCCCTTCTCTTTCGCCTATCTCCTCTTGTGACTATCGCCATCGCGACGCCATTGACCACCTCTTCTCTTGTCGTCATCTTCTCTCGACAACACGACTGACCACATTTTCTCTCTTCTCACCTTCCTCGTTCGTCTCTCTCCTCTTCCAAGGTAAATTACAACTTCTAACTTTTGCAAGTCATGAAATTTTTGTGGGTTTGTAAAGTTCAATCTAGGTTGTACAAAGAAGTGATAGACAGAGAAGCCATGGATCTTCATAGGAGAAAAAGCTTAACCGGAGGCTGGGTCCGCCAGGTGAACAAGAAAAAGAACAAGCTTCCTTGACCCACAACAATGGTGGAAACAGAGTACAGAATGGTTGGATAAACAACCAGAAAGTATCGTTCTCAAATAACCCAATTGGAAATACCTTAAAAGCTCCATGGTCATCTTTTCCATTTATTCATCAGATCCAAAGCTGACAGACCTATGGTGGGACAAGAGGGGGTGGATTCTGCAAAGGTACTCTTAGCTTTTTAATTTTTTATTTTTACATAGTCGTATTATTTGCTTTTTTTTTTGTTTTGACAGAGGATATTTACTCTCTTCAGTTACATTACTAGATGGATGTTGTTGTGATTCTTGCTTTATTGTTTTACCTTTTCTTATGTTTCTGATGTACTAGATGTAATGGATTTTATTTTATTTATTTTTCTTTGTTTTCATTGGGTTAAATTTGTTTTTTTTTGACCATTAATTGTGTTTTCAAAAAATATTTAATGATCATGATTACTCCATTCAAGTTGCTTTTTTTAAATTTTTTTTTATTTTATAAATTCCAATCCCTTGATCCAATTTCAAGTGTGTGTGTTCATGTGAGCAAACCAAATGGATAACTGGAGCTATTTGATTTTTTTTTTATCGATTGTTGTTCATAACATTTCAGTGCAAGTTCATATCCTCTCCGGCCTCTCTCTCCCGTTGTTCTTGCGGAGGACAGCTCAAATAGAGCCACGTCACCCCCACAAAAAAATGAATAGTTATTTGTTTCTTTGAAAAAAAAATTCAAAACATTCCCACACTGATTTTCATTTTCATTTTCTTTTTCTTTTGACACTCCTTCTCTATCTCCCTCACTGACACACGTAGGCGTTTCACATCCCACCACACACTCTCTCCTCATAAAAAATTAAAAAAATATATTTTAATCTTTTTCATTTTATTTTCATAATATATAAAATTTTAATTTTATAAAATTAATATCATTAAAAATATACCTTTAAAATGAGATTAATATTAAATATATTTAATAAAAATTTAAAATAAATAAAAAGTAATTATGATGTTTAGTATATTGTCAAATTATTATTTTTTAAATATAAAAATTAATTTGATGAAATAAACACACAAAAATCATATATTTTTGAAATTCTCAAAAACAATCTTCATTCCAAAAAAATTCATATGAAAATAATGACTTTTAATTTAATTCTATTAACCAAACAAGTTTATAAGTTTATAACTTTTTTTAAAGGAAATTAAAAAAAAATCTATTTAATTTACACCTATGCATAGATTGAATTTGTATTTTAAAGAAAATAAAAAATTTACACATATGCACATATTGGATTTGTGTGTTTTTATTTCCTTCAAAAAAAATTATAAACTCGTTTGGTTAATAAAATAAAATTAAAATTCATTATTTTCATATATATATATATATATATATATATTTTGGAATGAAGATTGTTTTTTAGAATTTCAAAAATATATAATTTTTGTGTGTTTATTTTCATCAATTTTTTTTATATATTTTAAAAATAATAATTTGAAAGCATAACTAAACATAGTAATTATTTTTTTATTTATTTTAAATTTATTAAATATATTTAATATTAGTCTTATTTTAAAAGTATATTTTCACGGCTTCGGCTTCGGCTTCGGCTTCGGCTTAGGCTTAGGCTTAGGTTTAGGTTTAGGTTATTTTTTAGGCTAAAATTTATAAAAAATAAAAAAGATTAAAATAATTTTTTTTAAATTTTTTTATTAGAAATGTGATAGAGAGAGACAGAGTGTGTGTGCTGGTGTGTATTTTTTTTATTTTGTTTAAAGAAACAAATCTAAACCGTTAATTTCTCTGCGAATGACGCAGCTCTATCTGAGTTATCCCTTGCAGGAATAGCCGGAGAGGGAGACTGGCGAGGATCTGGATTCTTTCATTGCACCATGTTAGCTCATTAATATTCTTTAATATGATGCTTGATTTCTATTGGGAATTATTTTAAATTTAATATTATCTTCTCTGACTTCAGGAGAGGGAGAGAGCCTTCGTTTGAGAAGAGAGAGGGATGGGGGATACCAGTTGGTGAGAGAGAGATAGTTGAGAAGATTAATGTTTTACAATCTTTTGGGGGGAGAGAGATAGAGGTGATGGAGAACAGGAGAGAGTGGGTGATAAAATTGAGGAAAGAGGGAGACAAACTGGTAGGTGAGACGTGCAATTTGGGAGAAGCACAATTTATCTTGGGAAGATTTTTTTTTATTAAAAAAATATTTTGAGTAGTAGGGATTGAGTTAAGATAAAGGTTACCCGGTTTAAGTTATTAATGTTTTGAAAATAAAATATATTTCAAGTGTATATATATTTGTATATAATGGTTATAATGATTCATTATAGCTATAAAATAAAATATTTTTTTTGTGTGGTGTTTTGCGGAGTGGTCGGCGTGCGTGGAACAGAGCCACTTTTGTGTGTGCATGGATGAGTAGATGTGTGTGGGGTTTTGAGTAATTGATAGAAAAATTAATTTTTTGACTTTTTAATCTATTTTATTTTTTTTAAATAAAAATGTGAGAGGTGATAGTGAGCTAAAATAAGTAAAAAGTTAAAAACTAATTTTTTTTTTTAATTCTCAAAAGACCCTGTATAGGGATGTATATTTTACGTTCAACTTTAAGCATGGGGAGTATAATTTTTTTAATTCCCAAGAAGAATGGTTAGTTTAATATTGTTTTTGTTTTTGTTTTTTTTTTTTTTTGATGTGTTTTTTGATGTGATGAAGCTTGGGTTTGCTTAATGTGAGATTGAAGTGAGAATCAGACTCATTTGTCTAAGTGCAATATGCTTTGATTTTAGAGCATGTGAGGGGGAGAGAAATTTGAAAATAAGATAAATTACAAATAAATTTTTGCGGTTTATTTAAATTATAAATTATTTTATGTAATTTTAAAAATTATATTATGCTTCGTAACGTTTTTAATTTCATAATAAATAGGTCATTTTATTAATAAATTATTAAGTTAATTAACAATTTTTAATAATGTTAAAATTTTATTTCAATTAATAATTCAAATAATTTTATTATTGTATAGGCGAATAGTTAGAAATTTCACTTTTTCAATTAATTTTGTTAAATAAAAAATTCTGACAGAGAGGTATTTATAATTTTCTAAACTATAAGGAATAATTCGAATTTTAGGCAAATTTTAGAGAGTGTATTTGTAATTTATCCATGAAAATATATCAAATCTATAACCTATATAAAAAGAATGTAAGAGTGGTGTAACACTGC